AATGCCATAGAGCTAATCAATCACGGAATTTTATTTTTTAGCACAGAACTTTAAAACTGAAAATGATTTGCTTATCCCAACCCTTCAACATTATGAGCAAATAACTACTTTTAGTCTACAACATTCATAAGTTTTGATATTTCTGAACAAGAATGACAAACATTAATTTCCCCTTTTTCTTTCCCTTCCCTTTCTCCCTCACATATTTCTCAAGCTAAAAATGTTTTTTTTAAAAAAGGGTATTAGCCAATTCTACCCACCAATTTGGCACCATAACCTTAGGAATATGTAAGAAATGACTGTTGAGTATTTTTTAAAAACTGGATCTAAGAACATAATTTTCTTCGGATTTATTTTCCCAAAAACCTACAAAAAACTTGGTAATAAATGAATACAATTATTTAATAATGCTAATTTTGGTATAATAATTAAATGATTCTCCCCATATCAATTATATGAGCTTGCCTTAATAATGTGCAACAAAGGCTGAGTGGGGTGGCTCACCCCTATAATTCTAGCACTTTGAAAGGTTGAAGAGAAAGGATCACTTGAGGTTAGTTTGAGACCAGCCTGGAAAACAAAGTGAGAACTCGTCTCTACAAAAAAATTTTAAACAGAGTATTTTTAATTGGCATGTGTCTGTAGACCCAGCTACTCAGGAGTTTGAGGTGGGAGAATTGCTGGAGGCTGCAGTGAGCTAAGGCCATGCCACTGCATTCCAGGATGGACGACAGAGTGAGACCCTCTCTCTAAAGTAATAATAATTTACAATAAAACGTATCTAATGATTAAAAAATAAACCTGCACTATTTTCATCTTGAAGGAATGAATATTGAAAAATGCTGAAAGTCACCGTGACTCGTTTTCTCATTTATAAATCAGTGATGACATTTGCAAATACAAGAACTCACCTCTGCCTCTCCCAAGGGCCCACACATAATAATTAAGCAGAAGGAGAGATGCTCAATTTCTGAGACACAACTTTGCACTAAACCACCAAATGATACACAAGAACACTACCCAGAAATGTGTGCTGTTCCCACTGCACTTAAACACACTGTGGCACTGCAAATTTGTTAACACTGAGGTAATTAAATCTAAAGTACACGAAGACTTAGTTAACTGTGTCTACTATTAAAAATACTTGGGAAAAAAATTCTGATGAAAAAGGACATTCAGCAATTCGTTCTCATGACAAAATTACTTTTCGGCCTGGCGCGGTGGTTCACACTTGTAACCCCAGCACTTTGGGAGGCCGAGGCGGGTGGATCACGAGGTCAGGACATTGAGACCATCCTGGCTAACACGGTGAAACCCCACCTCTACTAAAAATACAAAAAATTAGCCGGGCGTGGTGGCGGGCGCCTGTAGTCCCAGCTACTCCGGAGGCTGAGGCAGGAGAACGGCGTGAACCCGGGAGGCGGAGCTTGCAGTGAGCTGAGATGGCGCCACTGGACTCCAGCCTGGGGACAGAGCGAGACTCCGTCTCAAAAAAAAAAAGGCTTTTCATGACACAAAAATTAAAGTATAAACTATTATTTCATATACTAAGCACATTCATAATTTGGTTTCCAGAGATCTAGTCAAAAAAACCCTCTGCCTAAGCAAGAGCTAGTAGAAAAATGTATCTTTAGGCTATGTGTTACTTGAAAGTACTCTTACTATATAACACTCTGGAAATTAGTCTTGTTTAAGTTGTGTTAAATCAGTGGTTCTCTGGGAGGTGGAGGTTGCAACGAGCAGAGATCGCGCCACTGCACTCCAGCCTGGGCAACAAGAGCAAAACTCCGTCTCAAAAACAAAAAACAAAACAAAAAAAACAGTGGTTCTTAACTTTTGGAAGGCTGTGAACCTGAGAGAGGATAATAAAAGCTGTTGCCAGAGAAAAATGCATATTTAAAAATAAAAATACGCATAATTGTAGGGATTCTCAAAGACAAGCCCAAGTGCCATATCTTTGGTATCATTAAAACAACTACCTTCACAAAAGACACTTAGAAATGCAGCTACTGTTCTAGGTTCAATGTGCATAACAAAACTGTATCTCTAAATCCTTGATTCCTTAAATTAAAAAAGAATAAAATGGGTGTGTATGCAATTTTATAGAAATAGATGCCACATATTTTAATGTCTTTTAAACCTAATCAGCTGTGATTAAATTCAAATATTTGTATAAAGTTTTATTTCTTACATTGAGACATACACAAAAATATGATTTATTTTTTCTTAAGTGATCAAAACAAATTTTAAAAAAGCAATGTGATTCACTCAGGGTCTCCTTTGCGCCAGGCATTATGCCTTTGAAGAAACGCACTCTTAATATCCACTCAACTTTGCTCAAATATTAGGCCAAAATAAATTGGCCTAAAAATTTTGACAAATATATTTGGTCAAAAATATATTTAGAGACGTACTTTCCCATACATAATGAAATGACGTTACCCTAGTTTACATAAGTGTCAAAGTATTTAAGGTTTCATATTTTATAGTAATTTGATACTTTCAAGGGCAATAGTTTTGGGGATAGAAATTTTAAAAGAAAATTAAAAACTTGTAACTGAAAATAATGAGTTACACCTATAATAGTAAGCATTAAAAATAAACTAAATCACTACTAACGTAGGTAAATAAACTCTGTCTTTATTCTATAACCTTACAATGTAAATGTCAAGAACCCTTCCTTAAACAAAATAACATTTGTAGGTAAGAAATGATGGAAGACACTGAGAGTACAACGGTTCTTCCGAAAGGCAGACTCAAAGTTTTTTCCTTTGCTCATCTCCAGAGTGTTAAGCCAATAACCAAACAGAAAAAATAATTAATGCAAAATCATTCATCATTGTTAAAAAAATTTTAACTGACTTGTCATGTGAATGAAGAGCACTCTTAAAATAATAGTTACTAGAATTCAAGAATACATGTCATATGATATAATGACCTATTTCCAATGGTTCCAGGGAGTGATTACTTTCATCGTTAAGAGGAGCTAGAATAACCATTTAATGCTAGGACTATGTAGAAGAATAGTTTTTCAGCTAATTTAACTTTTAAATTAATTAATTTCACCCTAAGTTTCAACTGGGAGGTCCAAATGGGACCAATGAATATACCTACCTCCAAATAAGCTGATACCTATACCATAAGCATTAATGGATTTTTTTAAACTGAGTGTTTTTAAATTTAAAATTCCCTTTAATATTTTTAACTCCTCCAATTGAAAAGGCTAATTTTTTTCTGAATGGCATGCCTAAATTAGTCTCATGAAATAAGTAAACAAAATGTTTATTTCTGATACGAGGAAGGAAGCATTGTTAGACCAAAATAAACTGGCATGTAATTACGAAGGCCGAAGTTTTCTGATTGCTATATGGATCCCATTATTGCGGGTGCTTCGGAAAGAGACATGTAAAGTTGAATTACAACACTGCTCAGAAGTCTAGACAATGCCTGTCTAAGAAATTTTAAAATGTGTAGCTCACTTGTAGATTATGCTCATGTAAACAATGCAAACACACCTCAATGAAAGAAAAATCATAGTAGTACATTACTTACAAAAAAATTTTTAGGCTACCAGAGATAATTCAATTCTGACACTGCTTTCTAGGGAAGAAAGGAAAATGCTTACAAATTTAAATGAACCTGAAAAAAAATCAAAGTAGAAGAAAAGGTAAGGGAATAAGTCGGGGGAGAGGAGTGGAAGGGAGGAGGGTAGTAAGACAGAAAGAATGGTGGGGAAATGTGCTGACAAAATCCTTAGCAACACAAGGTTATTAATCTCTGAGTACACTGATACTTTAATGCTAAAACAGATGCTCTACTCCCCTTTATCTTTATCTTCTCCCATTTTTCGTCCCAAAGAGGTCCTTGAATTAGATATATCAGTATTTAAATCAAAGATTTACTTACTAATTGGATTAAGCCCTGGAGGCAGTACCAGTTTCCAGCTGATCTAGATACATCCTTTGGCTTTTAGTGGGTATATATATTTCATTTTGTTTCTGTTTTTTTTTTTTTAATGTCCAAGACCAAGTGCTGATTTTCCTGTATAGGTTCTAGAAGCATAATTTGTGTGTGCAACTCAAACATTTGACAAACATAAGATACCAATCTGCTCAGGACTTACTATTAATTAAATATGATTGTGCATATCACCTTGCTTTCCAAATCAAGGTATATAGCAGTGGGGATAAGTGATGTTAATTTTAAAAATTTAAATATTTTTATATTAAAATAAACATTATGGAGTAATAGACGCAAAAATCTGCATGAATTCTTAAGATAAAAACGAAGACTGCAAAGAATCATAGATTTCTCAAAGGGTCGCACTGAACTATGCCTTCAGGAATTCTGGAGTACAAGCACATTTGCTCAGATTCTTCTGTCATTATTGGTGCACTTGGCAGAAGATGACTAAAAAGTGTTTTCTCTACTGCAATGATCCCTTATGTAATATATTTTTTTTTCCTACTACTGTTTATAATACTTTACCCAATTTAAAATTACTACTATAGCATTTATAATCAAACATCTGAAAGGGAATACCATCTAAAGATGTAGAATGATATAAATTATTTTTTAGAAAGTTAATACAAAAGGCATATGTAGATACGAAAGGCATATGTAGATCTGAGGCATACGTACATAAATATTCCCATTATTTCTGATGCCTTTATAAGTTTTAGTGAAACAGCACGAAGTTTTAAAAATAGAGAAATACAAAAAGATAGATTTTTTTTCCTAAATAACCATTTTCCCCTTTAAATTTTTTTGTGAGTTTTATATATAAAAATTCTTATATGTAATTTCATTCATATTTAAATTTTGCTTTAAAATTCTCAACTACACATTTGGCCTATGGTGCCAAAAACTAGAACATAAAGCTCATAATTTGTTCAAGTGTGAATCATTCAAGTATACAATTTCAGTTCTGATAAATTAATAGTAAATGGTGCTTACAGATTTGGTATCTGGAACTCACTGGAAATAGTTACTCAACTTACCTGGTGCTAATCCAGCAGTAGCAGGGCTTCCCATGGATGGGTGAGAGAAAACTTGAGAGAAGGCAGACATATTTGACTGGGACACGTTACTCAGCCTGGAGGTTGATCCTCCTTTAGGAATAAACTCGCTTGCAGTAGGATTTGGTGTCTATTTAAAAATCAAATATAGTAGTTAACACACTTTAAGCCAAAAAAAGACATTGAATCTACTAGGCATATTCCACAGTGCTTTATTTACTAAGTAAAATATATTCTTGAAAGGATTAACATGTGTTTTAGGTTCCATATTTTGGTAGGTCATAATTAAATTTCTTAAAGGAAATTTGATCATCAAATTTGAAGATTTTAATCATTTCATTTGCAGAATTTTAACCTCAGTAATGTGTAAAATTTGTCTTTATCATCAAGCATGCATCATTACCAAACTACTATGTTTTAGAGAACCGGGAGGTTATGATTACCTCAAAACTGAGCAACAAGTTTCGAGTTTAGTATCTTTAAACCACCTCTACCAAGATAAAGGTCAAAACTGTTTTCTTCCAATATTAATCACTTTCTTTTTTGTAGTTACTTCAAACATTTCCCTAATAATATGGTATCATGTATTTAAGTGACAAAGTAAAGGTTAGAAAAACATTTAAAAACAAGGCAAATATGGGAGGAATCAAGATATAAGAAAAACTAAAGTGATCCTAATGCCCATACAGTACCATGTGTGACCTGTTACACTGAAAAATATTTGGCTATGAGATTACATGGAAAACATCTTTTTCACAGTGGTACTATGCTACAACTCTTTATATATTCAAGTGGCATGGTATTTTTAGCTTTAAGAAATACTAGAACATATGAGACTATACGTAAGATTCATAAAAAGTCTACATATTGTCCACGTTAAATTTCCACAGGAGGCAGAAATAATAGCTTCCCCATTTAATATGAATGAGTTAAGAGTTCAAAATACTGCCAAGTTAGAGTTCAAAATACTAGATCTGGAAGGTAACAAGTCACCAGGCTAACCCAAATGTAAACTCCAAAACGAGTATTATCAGCTATGTGCCAGCTAAAGTTAAATAAAAGGTGATAAAATATAGAACAAATGCTAAATCTGGGCTTAATTAAAATATACTAGAACTACGGAATCAATCTTTTACTGCCACAGCTAAGGCACAAATTTCTGGAAAAGTAAAATCAGGCCTGAGGCTGTATTTTCCAAAGGGGAAAAAATCCTCTTTTGTGACTTAAATATATTTTTTTAAAATTTCCAATTGTAACATTCCCCAAAATAGTGGTATGTTCTCTAAACGGATGGCCAATTCCTTGATTTCTGGAGGAGAAAACAAGCCACTGCATTTTACTAATGTAGTACCTTCCTAGTTATAAGGGAACAAATGGCTACCAACAGAATGAAAAGTATGACAGGACCAGTATGTCCCAGTTAAACCTAAGTCTTAGAAGTTGAGGGTCAAGATAAAAGTCATTGATATCGTGATAAAAGAGTCCAAAATGGCTAGAGACATGGACTTCGGGATTACGTAGGATTACTAGGAGACACCAAAATTACATAAGGAAAATAATACACAATATGAATATTTTTAGAATGTTCCTGAGAAACAGGTATTACCCAGTTTCTATTTCACATATAACCTGTAATTACAGTAAATAACAGACCGATTTTAAAAATGAGTTTCTCTAATCTTACTATTTTGAAAGCCTATTTTTATTATTTTTGAGACCCTGTAAAGGGGAAAAAGGAGGGGGAGGTCCATCCTACCTTTCATAAATTACAAAGGACCTCCAAATATGTCTGAGTGGAAGTTATTAAAATTAACCTAACTATTAAGATTTACACACAGAACTGTAACTTCTACAGATTCAATAACCACGGATGCCAAAATCTACCCAACAGTGAATTTGAATTAAGAACTGAAAAGGATGACCTAAAACCCTACTTGTTTCTTGATTTAGTATTCCTTGATTTGGTGGTTTGAGAGTTTGTTTTGTTCAACTGTGAGCACTTGAGATTAAAGATAAAATAATTTAAATGGCAGAAAAATAATTATGTAAGATTCAGGTACAACGGCATACACAAAAAATCTTTGATAATATAAATTAACTCTAGCCAGATCAGAGAATGATCGGATACATTTAAAGTACAAATCAGAAATTAAGACCTTACCTAGAATACTTTTTCATGATAAAAATCTTTAAAATAAGATGCAACAATAAAGATACATTCTTAAAACTTCTTTAATATTACTGGTTTAAAATATAAATCTTTTTTTAAAACTATAAAATCTATTAAAAATAGCATAGGTATATATTTTTAACATGTTAAGAATAATTTTTTGAAAGATAAGGCTAAACAGGTAACTAAAACAAGTATCACATTAAAATGAAATATCTGTTCAAAAAAGAAACTATTTTTTTCAGGTTTAGGAGGCAAAGGTTTTATCTAGGATTAGAAGACATAAGGACTTGAGTTATATAAATTATTTGACTAACTTCAACAACAATAAGGAGTTTGGCATAAATAAGAAAAATAGAAATAAAAACATTAAAGTTTTACTATCCCTGCCCTATGTTTGAATAATCCTTTCCCAAAGACATAGATATATTAAATTTTTGGTTTCTGTAAATATACAGATATGCAGTCATTTATATTCATAATTAAAACCCTAATTTACATTTATACTTTAAATAGTTCTAAGTGGACATTTTAAAAAATTAATGTTCATTCAATAGTCTTAGATTCTCATACACTCAAATTTACCCCACAATTTTTTTTTTTTTTTTTTTTTTTTTTTTGAGACGGAGTCTCGCTCTGTCTCCCAGGCTGGAGTGCAGTGGCCGGATCTCAGCTCACTGCAAGCTCCGCCTCCCGGGTTCACACCATTCTCCTGCCTCAGCCTCCCGAGTAGCTGGGACTACAGTCGCCCGCCACCTCGCCCGGCTAGTTTTTTCGTATTTTGTAGTAGAGACGAGGTTTCACTGTGTTAGCCAGGATGGTCTCGATCTCCTGACCTCGTGATCCGCCCGTGTCGGCCTCCCAAAGTGCTGGGATTACAGGCTTGAGCCACCGCGCCCGGCCTCTTTTTTTTTTTTTGACATGGAGTCTCACTCTGTCACCAGGCTGGAGTGCAGTGGCACAATCTTGGCTCACTGCAACCTCCACCTCCCGGGTTCAAGCGATTCTCCTGCCTCAGCCTCCCGAGTAGCTGGGATTACAGGGTTGTACCACCACACCTAATTTTTGTATTTTTGGTAGAGGCGGTGTTTCATCATGTTGGCCAAGCTGGTCTCAAACTCCTGGCCCCAAGTGATCTGCCCACCTCAGCCTCCCAAAGTGCTGAGATTACAGGCGTAAGCCACTGTGCCCGGCCTGCCCCCTAGTTTTCATGTCAAAAACAACCAAGTGCTTCTCATATAGGGAGTTCTCCAAAATGACATCATCCTCCAACTTTCGAAAATGATCCCTACCGCTACCATCTAGACCCACATATAATTAATCAAGAATCCTGACCGTTAACTTAAATGTTATTGTAATTATTTTTTTTTTTGAGACAGAGTTTTACTCTGTCACCCAGGCTGGAGTGCAGTGGCATGATCTCGGCTCACTGCAACTTCTGCCCCCCAGGTTCAAGCGATTCTCCTGCCTCGGCCTCCAGAGTAGCTGGGATTACAGGCACCCACCACAGCGCCTGGCTAATTTTTGTGTTTTTAGTGGAGACGGGGCTTCATCATGTTGGCTGGGCTGGTCTCGAACTCTTGGGCTCAAGAGATCCACCCACCTCAGCCTCCCAAAGTGCTGGGATTACAGGCGTGAGCCATCACACCTGGCCTAAACTTTTTCTTTTTTAAATTAGATGGAAAGACAAGAAGTTTCTGTTGAATAATAACAGAACATAAGATATGTAACATTACATTGCATATATGGCTCAAAAAGGCCTATAAGAAAAAAACAGTTGTCATACAATGATGGGATGAATAACTCATACAATGATGGGATGAATAACTCAGAAACTACTAATATTCCTGAATACTGGTCAGGGTTATTTTAATCACATAGCAAACTCATAAAACTATTGGACAGCTCCTTAAAGAGCTCAGCTTGCTTTACCTGTCTTAAAGGCTTTGTAAATTGGTATCAGTAATCTTTCTATCCTCTGAATGAAAACCTAACCTGGTGACTTTTTCTTTTATTTAAGATATGATTGACATGTAATACGCTGTCCATACTTAAAACTTTGGCAACTCCTGACACAGGTATACAACCTTGAAACCATTACCCAAACCAATATAATGACTATATACATCATACTAAAGTCCGCACAGGCCTCTTCTAAACCCCTCCCTCCTTTCCACCCCTCTCTGCTCTCTGTTCCCAAGTCTCCAGGAAACCACTGATGAGCTTTCTGTCACTATGAATTAGTCTGCATTTAAAAATTTTTCACATAAATGGGTCATACATATATATGTGTTTTTTACCTGGCTTGTTTTTTTCTCGCTGAACTTTGTTTTAATGGGTCTCAAAATTCTGTGACAGAATTTCGGTCAAGTTGTTTCCATTAAAACGTACCGATTTAAAAAACTAGTAACTTAACCACATGCAAAAAAAAAAAAAAAAAAGAAAGAAAGAAAAGAAAAAAACAAAAATGAATTAGTTCACAAAACATTCTCCTTTCCTTCTGAAGGTTTTAAGATGCACTGTTATCTTTAACCAGTCTTTTACAATTAAACTTAAATGGCCAATTGAAACTAACAGTCCTGAGACCATTCTTCCACCACTGATTAAGACTAGAGTGGCAGGTATTAGGGATAATACTCATTTAGCCTTCTGAGATTTCTGGGCAAACCTGGTGACCTTGCCAGCTCCCACAGCCTTCTTGTCCACTGCTTTGATGACACCCACAGCAACTGTCTGTCTCACACCTCCAACAGCAAAACGACTCAGAGGAGGATGGTCTGAGAAGCTCTCAACACACATGGGTTTGCCAGGAACCATATCAACAATGGCAGCATCACCAGACTTCAAGAATTTAGGGCCTTCTTCCAGCTTCTTACCAGAATGGCAATCAATCTTTACCTCCAGCTCAGTAAACCTCCATGCAACCTGAGCTGTGTGGCAATTCAGTACAAGGGCATAGC